AGCCCTTTGGACCACTTACCGCCGCCCGCCAACTCCAACAAGCCGCTGACGCCGTTCAGCATCGAGGACATCCTCAACAAGCCGTCTGTGCGGAGAAGTTACTCGCTGTGCGGGGCGGCGCACCTGCTGGCCGCCGCGGACAAGCACGCGCCAGGCGGCTTGCCCCTGGCGGGCCGCGCGCTGCTCTCGCAGACCTCGCCGCTGTGCGCGCTGGAGGAGCTCGCCAGCAAGACCTTTAAGGGGCTGGAGGTCAGCGTCCTGCAGGCAGCTGAAGGTAGGCGCCACAGCTGAGTTCCCCTGTGCCCAGCGTGCCCTGTGCTTCCTGCCCCATGCCTCCGCCCGCCTCTTCCCGCGCCGGCCGCCAGGGCCCTCCAGCCCGAGTTGCTGCCGCTGGGAGTGAACATAGGTGGGACAGGACCCAATCGCTATTTCCTCTCTATTTCCTAGGGACCCTTGGGTAGGCCAGAGTAGTGGTGACCTGACAGAGGTGGCAGGTGGGGAATCCAGGGTCTTTTGCTAGGCCCTTCTGGATAGGGTAGAGTTGGGGTGATTGGGGAGGAGTAAAGAACCAGTATTCACACCCACAGTCCGGTTCATCTCTGTCTGGCTTTCTCTGGTTCTCAGAGACTTCGGATCTTTCAAACCAACTCAGGTAGAAGGCAGAGACCAAAATCAATTTTTCCTGGGAACTTCCGGGACACCAGAGACAGGAGAAGGTTTGCCATAGCCGAGGCTGGCTCCGGTCTGGGCAGCCGAATTAAATCGGAGAAGGGAACAAACGGCAGACTGCGGGCCGGATGGGCCTGGGTGGGGTGGTGAGCTACGGGGGTGACAGCCAGGGTGGGGTGTCTGTCCTCTCTCCAGACGCGAGCCTATACTGTTGTTTCATTGCAGGTCGCGATGGAATGACTATCTTTGGGCAGCGACAGACCCCCAAGAAGCGGCGAAAGTCGCGCACGGCCTTCACCAACCACCAGATATACGAGTTGGAGAAGCGCTTCCTGTATCAGAAGTACCTGTCCCCCGCCGATCGCGACCAAATTGCGCAGCAGCTGGGCCTCACCAACGCGCAAGTCATCACCTGGTTCCAGAATCGGCGAGCCAAGCTCAAGCGGGACCTGGAGGAGATGAAGGCCGATGTGGAATCCGCCAAGAAACTGGGCCCCAGCGGGCAGATGGACATCGTGGCGCTGGCCGAACTCGAGCAGAACTCGGAGGCCGCAGGCGGCGGTGGCGGAGGCTGCGGCAGGGCCAAATCGAGGCCGGGCTCTCCGGCGCTTCCCCCAGGCGCCCCGCAGGCCCCGGGCGCCGGGCCCCTGCAGCTCTCGCCTGCCTCTCCGCTCACGGACCAGCCGGCCAGCAGCCAGGACTGCTCGGAGGACGAGGAAGACGAAGAGATCGACGTGGACGATTGAGCGGCGCCCGGGATCTTCCGCCGCCCCGGGCCCCTGGCGCCCGCACGCTCGCCGCCTCCCGGACCGTACCGCCCAGGGGAGCTGGGACCTCCTCTGCAACTCCCGCCTACTCCCCTGTCCCCGGCCCGGACTCGACTCCTGGCAGCCGCCTCTTCCCTCTCGAAGCAATAAACCTGGGCTGGCCGGCCGGGCCGGCCGCCGCACGCGACCTCCGCCAACCCGGGAGCCCTCGCCGTGCAATTCTGTATGGCTTCTGTATAAATATTTAAACCTATGTAGCGGGTTCTTCCCACCGCAGCCTGATTTTTTTTTCTTTTATGGCAGGTATCACTTGTCGGACATCCTGGTGGAACCTGGGGGTCTCCCAAGTTTCGGTTCAGGCCCTAAAGGAGGGGGGATGAGCCCAAGGCAGCAAGGGCAGGCTGAATTGCTCACAAGGACACCCCGGGATGTAAGCCCAAAGCGTCTAAGGGCTGGGGTGAATTTCTGGGAACATTAGCAAATTCTGGATCCCGAACTTGGCTGGGGTCAGAGACATCGATCTCGCAAGAACTCTCTGGGGTCTGTGGCATCCCAAAGGCGGCTGGAACAGGGATTCAGGCGTCTTTCACTTTCCCGGACAGAGCGCGTTTCTCTCTGGGCTTTTGTTGTCGCTGTGCTGGCGAGTGGTCGCTGTCACCAGAGTAGGGTCCCGCCTCCGGGCCGCTAGACTCTTTTTCTCCACAAAATTGATGTGAGAAATGCGCATCTGGTCTTGGGCAGACGATGGGGCCCCCAGGCCTGAGTCAGGAAGGTGTGTGTCCGGGAGGAAACTGAGAGACAAACAGAAAAAAAGAACAGAAAGACATTCCAAAAGCAGAGAGAAAGTGGACAGCCACAGAGACAAGGAGAGAGAGAAAGAGGAAAAGCTAGGCACAGAGAGAAGCAGAGACACGGGGAGACGGAGACAGAGGGAGAAAAAGAGAATGGGAAGAGGGGAGAGAAGACAGAGGAGAGGACCAGGGAAGGAAGGAGGTGGCCGGGCAGCCGGGCAGCCGGGCGGGCGTGCGGCAGGTTCCTCCCGGGCGACATAAATCGCCCTCTCTCAGGATGGATGGGTCTGTAATTCGGAGCGCGGACCATGAAGGCCGGGACGAATGGGCCTGGGCGGCCGCTGACAAGCGACAATAGCCGGGCCCAGCCCCCCGCGGCTCACGGTGCGGGCATGGCCGCGGCCCTCCGCAGCCCAGAGCGCGCTGGCGCTGGCGACCATATGGTTTTTGAATTTTCTTCACAATTTGTAGACAATTTGATGGATTAGGTCCCCGCGTGCGCCTCCCCGGCACAAAGGCGGCGCAGGGACCGCGGCGCGGCGGTCACCCGGGCATCTGCGCCCGCCGTGCGCACCCCCCACCCCC